CCACATCTGTAATATATACCACACATTAGAAGTGTAATCCAGTGGTAAAATCACAATTCATAGAAGATGTAAAAGACCTGATCTCACCAGTTAAAATGTATGTTTCTCCCATTCTAGACTCCACCTTATCAAAATCAAGTAAATCAAACCGATGATTCGGTATTGCAAATGTTGGTATTCCCAGGGAGTCCTCTGAAAGAGATCTAACGACTGTAGTTGGATAAAGTTGAATCATGAGCTTGTTGTCTCCAACAACACGATACTGGGCCTTATTGGGAACAACATTGAAATTCTTAATATAGTAAACACTTCCTTCAGCAATATGTTTTTTGAACAAATGCGAAATACTCCCCTTGATGGAGGCATGGATATATGAGCCCTAAAACATAAAAGATGCGATTTAATACACACAACAGTAATAAGAATTTAAATTAACAAAACGCAAACACATAAACAGTTAACATTGTGAATACAGGAAAAAGAAATTAAATTAGCGAAACACACACACACTGACATTTAAAATTGTGAATAACCTGTTTATCAATGAGCACCATATCTGTACTTAGTAGGTCTTTTTCATCGTGAAATATGTAAGAATCCCACAGGCGCGACACCCGTGCTGTAATCGCACTGTTCTTGGATTCCAGCGTCAATTTCTCAATAGGGATGCATTCTTCTACCATCTTTAGTAGTGAAGATACCATGGCTCAAAAAATTATAAAAGAGAACACAACTAACACCCGGTGCGTCGATTTCAATTGTTCAATAAGACGTATATATATACACAAAGATCCAAACACAGAGAAGGTGAATCATTTGGAATAAAGTAGAGGTAATAAACGCACCTAGGGTTACATAGAAACAACATTAACTCCCGATACCACGCTGCCTCCGACGTCTCGCCTGCAAAAACGGATGGAATTGAAGGTGAATTTGAGCAGTTCCGGAAGAAGAAACATGTCCATAAATCGCGAGTAGCCTGGGCCGAGGAAGAGTGTCGATAAGTCGCGTCGCGAGAAGCCTGGGCCGAGGAAGAGAAGTTACAGATCTATTAGCCTTCCGGTTACGTGGCAGCTGAGTGAGCAAAATTTAATCCATCTCAGCATCCTAGTCAGTGTACACGTGTCAGTTCCACAACTAATAAACCCTACTTTATATATATATATATATATTTATATATGATATATATGATATATATGATATATATATATATGATATGAATATATATGATGATTATATATATGTAGTTGTACTAGTAATGTTCTAAAAATTACTCCATGTAATAAATAATAAATTTAAAACATAAGTGACTAACCATTTGTTAACTCACTTAAAGGAGAATAGGAAGAATCTCTTATTCGGTCCCGATCTGATGTACAATTGCTCTTTCAACTTCTCTCTTCTATAACAGCTATTATTGACATACAAAGCATAAATGTAAATTATTATGTATAGAAAGATTTAAAATATTTAAAATTAATTGATGTTTTAAAAATTATTACTAAGAAAATGATATGTTGATTATGATTGTAACCTGTAGATGTTTTATGAAATTCCTAAGATGGCCTGAAATCAACATATTCCATTGCACACTCTTGAGTAAATCCAAATGTTGTGAGAATTTGGTCTGTGATGTAGTGAGCATTTTCTGTTTAAAATCAATAGTCGTCCATGCTCTTTACATCATAACAAATTATGATGTAATATTAACATCTACATCTACATTTTGGATTCTAACGATTTACAAATTTTGTTTTTTGTTTAGGGATTATTGCTTTATCAAGAATAATTCTGAGTATGGATTAATAAAGAAATTGCAAAAGTTCAAAAATGGTAGTGAGTTATAAAATTTATTAGTGTCGTTTCGCAGAAATAAATATTGTGCCATTTCAAAATTGAATTTTCTAAAATAATTGATAATAACGATTAAGAAAGAAATTGCAATAAAAAAATTCTTGTGGGTTGTAAAAGTTATTAGTGCCGTTTCGAAAAAAATAGTACGTCAATTATAATTTTTTGAATTACTATTTTGGGGAAAAACATGTATTGAATTATAAAAAAAAATCACAAATTGAGAAATTCCATTTTAGATAAAAATAATATAGGCAACAGATGATTGTCGATAATCCTAATATTCATTTATTTTTAAAAAACATGCATTTTTCTTAACATTTTGTTAAATGGCCGTTTGTTTTTTAACGGCGATCCAAATTTTACACACATGTGAAAATGTGAGATAATATTCGGTGATAATGAAAAGTGAGATTATATTGGTAATAACACGAAAATGAAGAATTATTTGAGATAATTTTTCCTTATTTTATTAGACAAACCTGATAAAATTTGACATAAAAAAATCAATCCAATTAATTAATAAGTTTAGCAGACTTATTGTATCAAATATTGTCAAAATATGTTGGATATAATTAATACACAATACTTCAATTTTTTCAAAAGTAGCATTTGTATTTAAAGCCCTGCAAACAGGCCCAAATGGAAAGAAATCGGCCCAAACCTTTTCCCTGGCCCATTTTATATTGTATATACTACACTCTTTCCTCCCATTAACTAAACGCTACCTCTCACTTCACATTTCCGCCCATTCTTCTTCGTCTCATTCTCTGCGTCGCTTCTTTTTCCCTTACTCGCGACAAATGCATCTCTCTTTCTACATACAGTCATACACCGTGTGTGTTCCCCGTATTATTTTCGGTGTTGTGTATATGGCTTTGTGTTCTTGTTTTCTTTCAACCTCGATTATCTGGATGTTTTGTTTGGATTCAGTTTTGAATCAATGTTATTTTCAAAATTATCCTTAACACCGCATGTTTTTACCATTCGATTAACCGTAAAAGATGTATGTATTCTGGATTTTTTTATAGATATGATAAATATATGAATATAAATTGAGGGCCATACGCTTGCTAGGGTATCAAATTATATACGATAAATAATTTTTTATTTATAGATATGATAAATATATGAATATAAATAAGATAAATAATTTTTTTATTTATAGACATGATATATATAAGATAAATAATTTTTTTTATTTATAGATTAATTTTTTTATTTAAAGATATGATAAATATTGAGATGCGAATAAAGAGTTAAATATCTAATTTATCTAATTTATTTATAGACATGATAAATATAAGATAAATATTTTTTTTTATGTTTCTTGGCATCTACGGCTCGAAGTAACGTCCATTCCCCCGCAGTTGACATTGATGTTGAAAGATAGAGGAAAAGGTATATGGTTAAGTAAAATATCTAATTTATCAGTTTCACATACTAGGTGAGTTTCCGTATAACATTTTTTGTCTATTATAGTAGGTGAGTTACTATTAATGACGGACCAATTATGACGGGTTGAAAAGACCCTCATTAAATATGTTATTCATATATTTTTAGTGAAGGGAAAAATACCGTAGTTAAAATATGTTACTTTAAGTGAACAATTATTTTTCTTTTTCTTTTAAAAAATTTAATACCCTCATTATTGGAGTATAAAATATTAAAACTCTCACTATAACTTTAAAATGTATTTTTATTTAGACCTAGCTAAAATATATTCCAAATTAAAAACTCATTACTCAAAAAACAAAAAAAAAAGCAGCGCCACCCCTTGCAGTTGCAGTTGGAGTTCCTTCTACTAATATTACACGACTACAGGTACTATCCTACTATGATTTTTTTCAAGCAATATTTTTTTTTTGTATTTTTACTTCTATTTTTTAACAATGAATTTTTTTGTATTCTTACTTCTGTTATTTCAACAAGAATTTGTTTGTTCATTTGTTATGTTTCTAAATATGATACTTTTGATAGTACTCGTATTTAGTACTATGTTAATCTATGGCCATGGGTTCTGATACAAGGAGCAAACTTTATGTTCTTTGGAACGAAAATAATATTACTCTAATTAAATGTTTCCTCTTCTTTTTTTGAAATGTAGCTTTGGTATCACTTTGGATATGATGAGGACTTTGTGACGACTAAGTTTATGCTTGGTCATTGGCAATAGGTTTTGGTTGTTCTATTCTCTTTTAAAGATTTTTATAGGTTGGTACTATGCAGGTGAGCATTGGTGTTGGACTTCATAGTTTGAATCAGGTGATGAATTATGGTTTATAGGGTGGCTTTTCACTATCAAATATGAAGAAATGCTGATTTTTTCAACTAATACCCAGGTTAATACTATTACTAGCTTCTAATGTATAGACAAGTTGGTACTTTTGCTTCTTGTCTTTTGTTCTTGCAGATTTCGTTAAACCTATTTTAAAATGATCTTCAATAATACAATTTAAATACTTGACATGCATATTTGTTATCTGGTGGTAGAGACAATCTTGAGTAATATTCATACACCAACTTTGATAGGTATATGCACTTTTTATAATACACTCCTTATGATTTTTGTAAGCTTATATGTAAGAATGCTCTTCTTTCTTATTTAACTTTCATTCTATTTTTGCCTAACATTTCATAATTTACATAGTTGTTGGTTAGAGCACATTTTTAACAGGTCCATCGGATTATCAATTTCATCTCGCACTTCATCTTCATTTACCATCAATTCATCTTATCTCTCATCTAGAATTAAATTTAGTTCATTTTACTTGAACACATGTTATTACCTATTCCTTTAGGATTTTGACTATTAGTGGCAACATTAGCATGTGGAAGTTTTACCAGAGGGTTTGGTAATTTTGCCTCCATCAACAACATCGTTAAAATCCTCACAGGTTCGTTCATAAGTAATGCTTGACCAAACAATTTAGTATCACAAAGATTTTTGTCTTTGATACAAAAGGTATTCCTAATATATAGGACTATATGAATATATGAGAATAGTTTAAGAACTATCCATTCTCTAATACGCATATCTGTATTTTATAGAACATGTTCCATGGGGTTTGGCTTCAGTTGATACATCATCATATTTTCAACTACTTTGTTTCAATAAAATTCATTCATATATTGACAATAGTGTTGCTCGAATATGTACACGAAAGGGAAAGGTAAATCATTCATATATTGACAATAGTGTTGCTCGAATACAGGTAGAATTTTCACCGTTTATTCCATGGACTTTTAAGCTATAGCGAATCTTGAAATGTTGGCTATTTATAGCTTCATTTTGAAAAGAATGATAAAATTTATGTAATAAAGATAGCTTCATTTTGAAAAGAACGATAATTTTTATGTAATAAAGATTCTTGGATACATAACTAATCGCTATTCCTTAAATAGAATATTATTTATTGTTTTAATTTTGAATTTACAGCGTGTTTGTACCATAGTTATTACGGCGTCGCCCAAGCGTCGCCTAGGCGTCCAGTCAGAACTTTTTTCTCGCCATGCTCCTTCTACTCGACTTAATTTCCGGAGCTTGCCTAGTCGTCGCTGCTGGGACGCCTAGACGTCCAGTCGGTACGCCTGGGGCGACTTACGCCGTAAAATTAAAAAAAATTCCTAGCCCAATTGATCTTAGATGTCCAGCCCAATTATTTTTTAAAATAACTTATCTCAAGCCCAATTGATTTTAAAACATCAAACCTACCTCAATAATCCAATCGTCACTGCTTATTCTCTCAATCTCTCGGTCGTCGTTCTCTCTCGGGCATTTCGCGGTCGTTCTCTGGAGCGGAATTGGGTCGTCGTTCTGTCTGCCTCACGTTCTTGTTGACTTCGGAAATCCAGCCTGGGAATTATATCGGCTGATCGGCTCTCTCCAGTCTCCCTCCACAGTAAGTCTCTCTCTCTCTTTACATTTACAGTAACTATGGTTTTTTTAGATCCTAATTAAATTGTTTCTAGAAATACTATCACTCCTCCACTACTCCACTTCACTCAGCATTATTTAAAGGTTTTTTTTCTTAATAATGATTAATGATTTAATCTTCCTTTCAAAAAAATTCTGAATTTTTTTGCCAACCACTGTAAGGTACTTTTTAATTCTTCCTCTGCCATATTACATAATTTTTTTAAATGACTTTTTCGATTCTACTTTTCTTGATGGTTTTTGAGACTTTGTTGTGACATAATTTCTATCATTTGGATGTTAAATTTTTGAAATTTAAACTTTTTCTACATCATATTATGTGATATATTTATATTAGTGTATGTATAGCAATTATCATTTACTACTAGTCGCCTTATAGTCGCCTAGGCGTCATGGCGTTACACTGGCGCCGCGACTCGCCTTAGCGACGTGATAACTATGGTTTGTACCTTCTTCGAATGTGGCAGGTAAAGTCCTTCAAGAAGCTGGATTCTTGAAGATTGACTTTTTTTGGTGGGTTTTGCCAGGCCAAGGAAGTAGTGCAAGCCCAAGGCGACACACGAAAATCCATGCAGCAAGCTACTTTGATGGGCTTTCCCCCTTAAAAAATTAAATCAATATCCTGGCCAAAATGCCGAGAAAGGTAAAATTCTTGATGATTGACTTCATTCGCCACCTTTGTAGATATCCATGTTCTTTGGTATTTCACCTCATAACATCATTTACCTTCATCTTTCCTTCTAAAAAATTAATATCCAAAAAATTGCTCTTATTTCATCTAGCACACTCACACTAACCATACAACACATTGTTGAGAACTTTGGAGATTCTCAAGCATAGTTACAGAATTCGTTCCCAGAGCCGCGATTTCCGAATTGGTACGAGTCGTACCCAATCGCAAGTCGCCTGCGATCCGATCGCAACCGGTACGGCGATCCAAATCGCGATGGTACGGCGCTCTAATTTGCGATGGTACGGCGATCCAGATGCCCAGGTACGTCGCACCAAGTCGGAGAAAGTGGAGTACCAATCGCCGGCGGTCCAGCGATCCAATCGCGACTTCCTCTCTTCCGCGACCTTCCCTCTTCCAATTCGCGATTGTTCTCTCGCGTAAATTGAAAAGTTCCAATTCGCGATTGCACTTCCCCAAGTTTCGCGTGAGTTGTTCCAAGTCTCCGTACGTTTCGCGATTGTTCCCTCTGTAACTCCATACTTCTCTCCGTAAATATTTCTTTTTCCTAGGCAGTCTCCTTATTTATATATATATTGTCTTACCCTCTCAAGTCTCACCACACAACCCAACCTAAAGTCCTCAACTTTCAATTGTTTCTCTATTTTTTCAATGGCTTTTGGCAAAAATAATAAAGCACTTATGCTCATCTTATCTATTTTTGTTTACTTATGTTTTGACTTTTGGTACGCCGAACCGAATAAATGGTACACCGTACCGCTTCGTACCGTTTCGTACCGAAATGAACCTACCCCCCTTCGTACCGAATTCGTTACCTCTAACGAATTTCGTACCCGTACCGCGTACCCGTACCGAAACGTACCGCGATTTATGTGACTATGTTCTCAAGTTCTATCGGTGAAAATAAGTATGGTAGTACGGAGTATTTTTATCATAACATTACCGAGTCATTGTGTTTCCTTTTAAAACCCTTAGGTTTGCCTAAATTGTTCAAGATCATGATGATGAATATTTGATGATGTATACAAATCTTGGTGTACATTTATTAATAGTAAAATCTAAACTCATGTTTTACCAGGCTGTCTTTGGTTGGAACTGGACTGGACTTGAGTTTTATGACTCTGGATATTCGTAAAGATGTTTTTGTTGGATTGTTTCCCTATTGGTTGGCAGCTTCAACGTTCATCATTACTATAGATTGAGATCTTTAAAGTCTAAGTCGTTCAAAAACTTTTTTTTTTGTGTTGAAATTTTTTCTTTATATTTTTTTCCCGTTTTCCCCTAACGTACTTCCTTATAGACTTTTATTTTCTCTTTTAGGGGCTTAAGTTAACTCTTCTACTCTTCTACCTTCCCCCTTTTTAAAAAAAAATGCTTTTTAAAAATGTACCCTTAAACACTACTATCTCGAAATCACAGTTATTCAAAAAAAAGAGACATAAATGACTTTAAAAAGATGATTATTTCTGCTTAGCGCACATTATGCATTGAAGTATTCATATATTTTATCCACCAAGTATACATTCACAAAATAAGAAACTACAATCGCATATAACCCACCAATTTTCTGCTGACTCACCATTTTTTTTAAATCCTCCATTCTCATTTTCGTTTCACTTCCCATCGACCGGCACATATCTTTGGATAGTCAATTCCGACCAAAATTTCTGAAAAAAATTGTCGTCGGCTTGCCTTCCCGGTTTCCATCCGCCTCTCAGCCTCTATAGTTGTCCATTCACCACCACTGATTAGGGTATCTCCAAAATCTATTTTTTCTCCTTTTTATTTTTATCGAATTCCTATTTTTAGGTTTTTATTTAATATGTAATCAAGAAAGATTCTATATCATGCTTGCAATTTGGGGTTGTTAAAACCGAATTGTTAAGGATTTTCTTTATTCAATTTTTTAATTTACAAGTGGGTTTTACAAATGACTACTTCACCTACTTGTTGATGAGGTGAAATGCTCTTACGATAAATCTACATCCACATCCTCCCAATATGTGTATCCTCACTGCAAATTGACTCTTCTAAGGGTATAGATTTTCAATTCTAAAGCATCTGTTATGTTGTATCCATTAGGACTTTATCATTATTTTTTCTTCTAATTTATAGTCACTGCCCTTCTTTTTTTTCCAACCTGCAGGAACAAACAAGTCCTTATTTATATAAGAGTGGTTGAAAGCACATACTTCAACAGTTAAGATAAGGCTTGAAAAACAAAAACTTTTATTATCTAAATTGTCAAAATGTATACACATTTCATTCCTGTACTCTTAGTCTGAGAAATAAGGAATGATACTACATATTTGTTTGAGGTGCTCGCAAAGACTAGAAGACAACTGAACGATTATCCTTCTTTTTAATAGTTCATAAATTTTAGTGAAAGGGAATCATTTGGCTTGGTTTTTGAACAGACTGATGTCATTGACCCTTATTTTTAAGTGTTGAATCCCTATTTGAGTGACTGACCAACTCTCAAGAAGCATTTTAATCAAATACGGATTACTATTTTGATTGACTACAACTCTAGATTTGTTCTTCATTTTACTTTTTATTCAAAATTCTAAAAAAATGGACAAACTTTTTCTTATTCATGAAATTACACCAAGTCATGCATTAGATATGAAATGCTACATCATTTCTGGAAGCATTTCTATCAATTCATTTGCAATAACTTATGTTAGATTGGCTATTTTAATTGCTCTTCATCATTGTTGTCCAAACTTGGCCTCACCCTTTTTTTTACACATCTTTACCAAATTCATTTTTCTTTACAGGTTTCAAGAGGTTGATGAGGTTGAGGACATCATCAAAAACTTTGCTGTCAAGAACAAAAGAAAGACAGTGAAATACCTGAAGTTGCCACCTTTTCATTCCTTAACTAATCATAGACGAATTTTGATAGTCTTCTATTTGGGTACTTTTTTGTGAGTGGGTAATCAGGTTTGCAAAGTTAGTTTAATTTCTTGATTGATTTCAGTTTCAGTGTTCTTATTTTTAGATGTATATATAAAAGTGTTTGCCATTTTTAGATGAAAATGGTATAATTGCTTTCACTTTGTTGACAAGGTCAGTGGGAAAAATCAAATAAAAACATGTTGTGTGGGACACATGTTCTGAGCTTGGTAGTGGTGTTGACAAGTCGCATCTATGTGGCATTTTACTAGGACGGTAACATTTTAAGCTAGCTGCAATTAATATGAACTGAACTTACTCCCATTTTATCAGTGTTTTAACAATTTAGCCATGTGAACCAGATTAGGAAGATGAACAAACTGGTGGTCGGCATTCATGAAAGAGTGTGATGAACTTTGGGTTCACTGGTCTTGCTAGATGTTCTGAAAGCAGAAAACTCTCTGAGTATGTCAAAGACCAAGGTCACCTCTTTCTCCTTCTTCTAACTAATCCATGTTCGTTGCATTTGAAATACACCTCAACCTACATTTCCTTGGGGGTTTTAAGTTTGTGATTTTCATTTGAATTTAAGTTTAGGTCGCAAATTGTTTTACTTTTTGGCATTGATGGGTAGAGTAGAGATATGTATGGGTACTAGCCTGAATTCTTCATCTTTTTTTTTGAAAAGGATATTTTGTTAAAAACTTTTTTCTACGATACTTTTTAGTAACCTATTCAATTTAACTGTAACCACATGTGCCCTTTACCATAATAAATGGTTGTGATTGTGAATTGAACATACTACCCAGTACTCTAAAACCTCAAATGTTTAGTAAGAGCAAATTAAAACTCTCACTTTATAGTTCTAATATGCAGCTTCTACCAACTATCTTTTCTTTGATGCAAAAGTGGTTCCACTGCAATGATGACCTCAAGAATTTATGTAACCCCCATGCCGTCCCACAAAGTCAGTGGCTTAATTCTCAAAATGTGTGAATTTTTTATTATTGCAAACTAGATATGTTTCTAGATTAGATTTTTAAAAGAATTGTGCACTGCTACAATTACAAATTGATTCATTCTTATAGCTAAGGATTACAAGCATTTCTATTACATTCTTGAGATTTTTCTTAGGTTTACATCCATCAACTGTTTGATGAATTGTTAGAGGAGGAAAATAGAACAATGAAAGAGGACAAGGTATCAGTTGTTCAATGAATTACTTGAGAAAGAAAATGGAAGCTGTGGAAGAGGACAAAATAGCAAGTTGGCAATGCTTTAGTATGAGCTAAGTGAAGATGATTTTGTAGAGGATCTTTTACGGATATTCAAGAGCTCATGTCCAAAAAGGAAAAGACAAGCAACTAGAGATGTTACATTCCAAGCTATGAAAGGTAAGAGAAAAGAGAAAGCCACTTAAAAAAGAACAATAACTTTAAAAGCAAGTAGTAAAAAGAAGTGACCCTTTTTCATGTTTTTGTTGCATTCGGGTTATTACAATGTTTCTTTGATTTATCTGTTTATGGACTATTACTATATTGCTTTGACTTAACTCCTAATTATATTATTACTCTATGAAGATGATATTGCATTGCCATTAAGTTTAAGTTTCCTTTTCCTGTTTTTTGTTGTTGCTGGATTTATGGCTACACATTAGAGCTAATGGCAATACCTTAACTAATGTTGCCTTGGGATTTTATTACTGGATTTGGTGGCTACACATTATGGGTAATGACAATATCTTAGTTATTTTTGTCTTCCTTACTTATTCTTCCTAGAGAGTTTGCATTGAAATTTGACATTGTTTTTTTTGTTTCGCTTTTGGCAAATTGGTAAGACTATACACTGACTTGGAATGCTGGGTTTGTTTGGTACTAATGCTGCAATGTTGACCTCCTTTGAGCATTTGCAATGCTTGTAGTATTATTTATTACTTGGTTAAGATTTTGTTTTCTTTCTGCTTGGTCTTTTCCCTTGGTACTTTTTTAAAAAAGTTTTTAAACTTTTGTAATGCTTTTTTTCTCCTTTGAGGGGATTTGTGTTATATCTCAGCTCCGGGTGTAACGGTATTAAGTTCAAACTCAAGAAACAAAGTTCTTCGATTCTCAGGATAGAAGGATAATCGATTATCTAGTCTAGATAATCGATTATTTGCTGGTTCAGTTTCTTGGATTTTCAGGAGGGGCTAATAGTCGATTATCGGTATGGTGATAATCGATTATAGAGGACTGCAGGAGTTTCCCTTGATATATGATAATCGATTGCCGAGGGTGGTAATCGATTAATGACGCATGCATGTGTTTTGACGGAGGAATGATAATCGATTGTTAACAAGGATAATCGATTATTTTGGCAGATTTCTGGGAACGAAATGATGGTGTTTGTGTGGGGAAAGGCTGGAAAAATATGGGGATGATGGAGTTCTTTTGGGTATTTTTAATGGAACAGAAGAGTAAGATTAAGAGGAGAAATGGGGAGGTATGAAATGGAAGAAAATCAGGGATGGATAAACCAAGTTGGTGTTTAAGAGATATTACACACTCTTATCCTAACTTGGGGTTTGAATCTAGAATTTAATTAAGATATGACACACTTAATCAAATATCTAGAACCTAAAACTCACACTTAAAATAACCACTCTTAAGATATAGAATTAGGAATTTGGTTAAAATAACATCACACTATTTTAATAATACTCAAAGAGTAAAAGGTTTTCAAAATTCAGAGATGTGTTACAATGGCCATAAGGCCTGATTATATATAGGCAGGGGAAGGGGGAAGAAATACACAATACATTGAATGTAGACATAAGGAAACTTCCTGTCTTCTTCTCCTAAATCAATAGCATGACATCCACTTGTTGTTGTCCCTTTGGTGGGTAGAAAATCAGGGATAAGTTGTACTTGTGTGGATGGTGTTTTGGCCAGTAGTGAATGGTAAGGATAGGTGAATGTATCTCACTTATTTGATTGGGTTTTGGGGGAAATAATTCTGGACAGGGAAAGGGTTAAATGAGGGAGATGGGCTGGCTGTTTTAGAGGCATTTCTTAGGCAGGATATGGGGGAGACA